GGATTTATTAAATGTATGAAGTACATACCAAAATCACTTATTTTAGAGTTTAAGCTAAATGTGATTTTTCAAATGTAGTTGTTATAAATTCAAGTTTGTGATAATTCTATTTAGTAATAAATTTAAGTCCATACTAAGATTATAATTGAAAAGAGACAGTTTGTTTTGCAGTGTAAACAGGAATAAAAGAAGTATCTATTTAGGAGAGCTGTTTCAACATATTTTTTACAGTATGATCACAGTGTGAGGAGTGCTGAGAACTACTTAAGTTGGCACTTGAAGTGCTAAATTATAAATTATTATTCTTTATTTATTCATTTAATTCTAGTAGGCTCAATCCTTTTTGGGTCTAGTACCGTTCCAGCTATCCCAAATAAACTTTGCATTTACTAAGAATATAAAGATAAAATAATTTTCTCATTATCTAAAGATCAAAGGGAAGGGGAGGTAACTACCCTTTAGAATTTAGTAGCTGCAACCAAGCTGAGATGCTGGAAAAATTGCTTAGCACCCTTTTGACTAAGACTCTTTTTGAACTAGGGATTCTCAGACATCCAAGTCTGACTTCCTAGAGAGCCTGAGTCTCCGGTGTAGCCATCCTCTGGACTTGTCCACTTGGAAGAACCACAGCCAGCTCTTTCCCAGTTGCTTCTAATCCCCCTTGCCTTGTATTGAACTATCAGTACTGTGACTGATCTTGGGTTTACAGTTTATGAACTATGAAATGATACGCCATCACAGCTTCTCCAGACTGGGATCATTCTTAGAGTTCCACATCTCTTTGGATTAGAAACTGGTATTTGACCTGGAATAATGGTTGTCTGCTCCTACTTACCAGGGAAGGCCGCTACTCTTTATTAACAACTGCTCAAGTACAGTCTGATCACAGATACGTAGGAAATGCTTGAGCCATATGATCACTTTACCATATGTACCAAAAGATAATAATATTGCATTTCTTTTTTAAAGTTTGATAGTTTCTCAAATTTCACAGACGTATTTCTAGGGAGACATTTAAATGTTGAATAGAGAAAAAAGTATTTGGGATTAGCTTGGGTTGCATCGATAAAGAAGAATTACCTGTGCATCAAACTCAAACTTCTCTAAAACTTTCAACTTCTTGTCTTTCCTTAACTCAGATAAAAAATGCTAAAATTATCCAGAAACCCACAGTAGGAACTTCAGAATCATCCCTGATTCTTCCAATTTTTTCTGTTCTACCCTTAATTTGGTTAATTTATGTTTGGCCCATCAAACATAACTATGAACTATTTCTCCCTTCTAATCCTGTCACTGATCTTGAGTAGATTCAGAAAGCTCTTCCTTAGGCTGCTATCATATACAACCTACTGATAACCCTGCATCCAGTCTCTGTAATGGGTTCTGTTCCCCTTTGTTTATCTTTTAAATGTCAGGTTTTTTTTGTAGTTTGGTTGTACATTCTCTTACCCTCTCATTCTGTATTTTCTCCCTGGACAATCCACCCTGTGTGTTTAAGAGTCTTTAATATGATATGGCCTTGCTATTTTTATCTCTAGTCTAGAGCGCTGGCCTAGGCTTCAGACCTGAGGTCCATCAGCTTAGTATCTCTCACTGGAGGACTCAGTGAACCTCATGTTCCCCACCTCAAACCCACTGCCTATTTTGTGGTCCCTATCTCAGAAAATAATACCTCCATCTGCCCCAACTAAAGAAAGAAATCAGGATATTATCCTTGAATTCTTTTATTAAAATCCACAGCATTTATTTCTGTTTCTCAAATCTATTCATATGTCTCTATACCTACTGCCCCTGTTTCAGTAAAGGCCATAATTAAATCGCACCTGGATTACTTAAAACTTTTTACATCTAAATAGTACCCCTACTCCAGACCTATTCCTCTGCAATTCTGGAAACACACTGTAGCTGGAGTGATTTTTCTAAAAAAAATGCAAATATGAACATCTCTCTCACGCTTCAAATTCTTTAAGAGCTTATTACTGCCCTTAAGATCAAGTTCAAACTCTTTACTAACCTATACAGCCCTCCCAAGCCTTGTTACCAGCTACTCTCCCTTAGCTACTAAAGCTCCAGTTTTCCTGAAATACATGGTCTCTCTCCTTTCCCATCAGAATCTTTGTAAATTATTTTCCCTCTTCCTAGAATGTTCTCCTCCCCCTCCCTGTTTCCTGTATCTATCTTCTAACTCATCTTTAAATGCCAATTTGAATTTTATTTGCTATTTTGACAATACTTTCCTGACTATGCCTCTTCCAAGATTCAGTTTGGTGGCCTTTTGATTTACTGTAAGAACATACTCCACCCATTTAAAATAGCTGTTTTCTTTCTATATTCTAATTATCTCTACACTCATTCATCACACTGTAGACTTTGTGAGCGCAGGGATTTTTGTATACAACCCTATCACAGTTATTCAACAAAGCCTGAATCCACCCTATAGTAGGAATTCTGCCAACTGCCTATTGTAAAGATCTTTGATGGCTCTTTCCAAATAAAGGCTCAAGTTCTTAACATGGCATATAAGACCCTTCTCAATAAGCTAGAGCATTACCTTTCCAGTTTTGTGTTTCTAGCCCAGAGCCCTCTTCCACCTTCCGTATGTATTACTCTGAACACATCTCCACATGGGTCATTTGTATGCCACCATCCTTTTGCTTATACTGTTTCTGCTTTCTGAAATGTCATTTCTCTAACTCATGCAGATTTAAGGACTCTTTCTCCTAGCTCAGTGGTTCTCAACCTTCCTAATGCTGTAACCCTTTAATACAGTTCCTGTGGGTCTCAACCCACAGGTTGAGAACTGCTATTCTAGGTCATCACAGAACTTTTTAGTTTACTCTGGTCAACATATATCTCACTGTATTTCAGTCATTTATTTTTAATAATGCCCCACAGGCTAGACAATAAGCTTCAGGAAGGGATATACCATACGTGCTCATTTTTAGATGCCCACCACAGTGCCCAGCATACAGTAGTACTCAAATATATATTTATTTATTTATTTATTTTATTTTTTGAGACAGAGTCTCAATATGTCACCTTTGGTAGAGTGCTGTGCTATCACAGCTCACAGTAACCTCAAACTCTTGGGTTTAAGTGATTCTCTTACCTCAGCCTCCCAAGTAGCTGGGACTACAGGCATCCACCACAATGCCTGGCTGTTTTTTTGTTGTGGCTGTCATTGTTGTTAAGCAGGCCTGAGTCAGGTTTGAACCCACCTGCCTTGGTGTATGTGGCTGGTGCCCTAATCACTGAGCTATACGTGCCAAGTCACAAATATTTATCACATTGGAATAATTAAAACAAAGTTCATCCTATTTCAACTATTCTTAAAAAAACTTGAGACAAAAGATAGGTAAGGGGAGAATGGTTTATTCTACAAACATGAAACTGAAAATATTTCTTGGCTTAACCCTAGAATAAAAGCATTTGTCTTCCTCCCCAATATATGTGCAAAAGTGCCACTTAGCTTCTACTAAACTCTATGTAACTCTCTTGATTTATTCCCTAACTCTAATCTATCTTTGGTAAGAAATAAGAGCGTGAGAAAAATAAATAAATAACATGAGTGAGAAATAGTTCATAAAAAAACCCCATGAACTTTAAAAAATAAATGCAATTGCTAAAGTCCAGACTGCTTTGATTTAAATCTCAACCCTGTCACTTTCTGATTTTGTGTAAATCACTTAGCTGTCAGTGCCTTGGTTTCTCCATCTGGACAGTGAGAAAGATAATAAAACATACTTCACATCTAAGGTTACTCTGAGGATTAAGGGTTTATCTAAAGCATCTAGAAAGAAGTATGGTACATGGTAAGCAGTTACTAAGTGTTAGATATTATTATCATTATCTTAAATGGTGGCTGTTTAATTAACAATAGAGAATTATAATCTGTTCCTAGATTATAAGAAAGGACCCCCAGGTCAGAATGGGGGCGCTAAGAAGATTTTTGAATCCTCTAGGCTATGTGGGTATTAATACATTGTAGCTGAGTACATAGGCATGTCCTAAAGGACTAAAGTTGTAACTATGCTCTGAATTGATATGCTTTGGAAAATAATTTATATTTTCTCCATTTTTACATGTATAAGTACATTAATCTACCTTGCAGTGATGATACGGATTAACTAACAAATAATTATCAAGAAGTGTTAATATACAACTAAAGTGAAAAATCACCTTATAAGTACCTGGTGTAATTCATTAACAATATAGAGTATTATATTAATTCATGTAATGCCTTCTAACTATAGTTCCTAACTCTTAAATTCTTAATTTTCTCAGAGGATCATAAAGTTAACTATGTATTAAAAAATAAATTTCAGAATCTATGTGGGTTTGAGTTAGAAAACTATCAAAGATAGATGTCATAAAATTTTAAAAAGTGATATACTATATCATAATTCTAAAACAGTCATCATTATTCTAAAATTAGGGGTCTTGATGACATTTTAAAATAGTAACATGTATTTGAAAATCTGATCTTAAAATGTTATATAATGATATTAATAAAAATTCCAGCCTAAAAACCCCAAAGATAATTCTCAAAAATAGTTTGAAATAGCCTACAATTCTTGACAAATGTATAGGTTATGACTTAGCTATATTTTTAAAATGCAGCCAAATCTTGATTATCTTTAGTCTGTGGAAATATGGATAGCATGATTCTTAAAAATCCATCTCCTTCTAGAACCTAAACTCTGGGAAGTCCCTTCTCCCACAAAATATTTACCATAGTTAATTTAATGGTCTAATTTGCATTTCAATTGTTTTTCTTTCTTAACTGAACAATAAAATACCTTAATAAAGAATTTAACCAAAAAGAAAACAAACATAATACAAAAGGGCAATATGATAACCAATCCAAATAACCAAGAGTTGGCTGCACATTGGTATGTTTACTTTAGAAATTAAGATAGCCTTATGCTCCTTCATATCTGCACATAAAATCAAACAGGAGTTCCTAGGCCTTAACATTCCTAGTCAGTTTCTCTGAGTACCTGAAAGAACCCTGGTGGTACAGGACCTACTGGCATGCCATCTCCTGGGGGAATGTTTCCTAGCACTGGACTGGGAGCTGCTGCAGCACTCTGAAAAGAATAAAGGAGAAACAAACCTATATCATTACAGAGAAGGCACAAAACCAAAGACTAATGATAATAGATGTAGGAAGGGATGCTTTTTCATTCCCAGGAACAAATACTGGCAATTTTCCCCACTCTGGAGGTAAACTAAGATACAACAGTTAGTTTAGTATATGCTTGGTTAAGATAGTTGATTTTTGCAGGTCTCTTTAAACTTGGTGAAGTAAAACAGCTTTAGTAGTATGCTATATCAGAATAATATATTAAATGCAAATAGTAATATGACCAAATTTCATTTTAAGGCACAGATATCTAAAATGGCAACATAAATAACAAGTAGGTAAATGTATGGGTAAAAAGTTTGAAGATAGTAGTTGTAGGAATTGAAAAAAGAACCCTTTTTACTAAGATGTTTTCCTGTCATAAATAAGTATAATCAATTTTCTGCCTATAGGTGGCGACACTCACATTATCCACTTTCTTATATGCTATAACTGTAGCCAAAATATAACTACAGGATGGTGAGGATAAAACATTAAATAGGAGATTGAATAAGTGAAATAAATTAAGTTTGGAGAGATTAGTCTCAAACAAATTATGAAAAAATCAAATTGAAAATTTCAAAGTCTACTTTATTTTCAAATTATTTAATGGAATCCCAGCATTTCAAGAAATAGAAGAGTATGAAAAACTTCAAGCAAGACTCTTTAGAATCAAATCAAGGGTATAGTATAGTATTAAATCTATACTCTTTAGAATCAAATCAAATCAAGGGTACAGATTTAATACTTATATAGGGCAGTTATATATATACAATTGTTCTACAGCCATGGATTTCAACCTTTGACCTGAGTATACATATTATGAATATATATGTCTCAAAGGGACTAGGAATGTACTAAAGACATCAGTTTGAATCAAGTAGTTCTGTGAAGAAAAGAAATCAAAACAAATTCTGTCTCTAGCTAGTGTATCCATTGTACTTTCTTTACCTATAGATCAGTGTATTTATTCATACATTAATATTCTATAAGAAGTTATAAAATCTCAGCAGATTTGTAGCACACACATATATAAGTTGGTATATAAACTGCTAGAAATACTAACCACGTTTGTTTATTCAATAGTACTGGTGATTGTTAATAATTAAGGCCAATGATTTCCTGAAGAAGTGTAAATTTAAGTATGCTTATCTGAAATGCTGCTTACCTATTTATGCTATTAATGTCAAAATTTAAAACTTCTGATAAAGCACATGAGTATAAAAGGAGAAATGATATTTCTTAGATATTAAGATGAAACATTAACCTTTTATTCTGTTTTAAGAAAAACATGCAATTTCCTTTAGTATACATTAATTGAATGCCTACATTTTGCCATTTATTTAGTTTTATATAGCAATGCTCATGTTTTCAAAAAATGAGAGACAAAGTACCTTTTTACATTTTCACTAAACTTGTATAAAATTTTAACATACAATGTTTAAGAGGGAGAATTACCAAACATTTAGTCTCTCTTAGTTTAAATATACAGTAGAACCTCTGTAAGTTGACCATCCAGGGGATCATTACAAACTGGTCAATATACAGAGGTGGTCAACATAAGAAACTAGGCCTCCTGCAGTAATATGTACATGTGCTACATGTTTAGTCTGTGAAAATTAGTTCAACTTAAGGAGGTGGTCAACTATGGAGGTTCTACTGGTATGATAATAGCTAGATCTAGGAAGAATAATTTTATCTATTTTCCTCAAAGCTGCCATGTACGGTCATGTAGAAGTTGTAGCCAGGCATTGTAGTCCCAGCTGCTTGGGAGCCTGAGGCAAGAGAATCACTTAAGCCCAAGAGTTTGAGGTTGCTGTGAGCTGTGATGCCACAGCACTCTACCAAGGGCGACACAGTGAGACTCTATCTCAAAATAAATAAATATATAAACAAACAAACGTTAGAAGTTGCTTTTAGTACTAAAAGCTAGACAAAGGGTATCATTATTGTTCTAATAACTGCAGAACAGATAATTCTTTTATAATAAAAAGATTTATATAAAAAAAGATAACCTGAGGACTAATATTCACCCATAATTTTAAAGAAATATACATTTATAATATCAAACATGTTCACAAAATAATAGAATTTACTGAATTATAGCAACTTCTTAGGGTAGTTCAAAGATATTTTTTGTTTAATTCTTGTTACATTAAAAATACATAAAAGAAGTTTTTGCCTATTCCAATCAAGAAATGTTTGCTTGCTTCTAAACTAAAACTCGAAAGTTAAATACTATTGGCTAATTGCTTACTTCTTTTCCTCTTTTGGCAAATTACATTATTTAAGGACGTATGATATGCTAGTTTTATCTTCAAAGGTCTTCATTACATATGTTTCCTGTGTTTCTTTTCTGCTATTATTTAAAAATGAAACAAAAAAAATCATTCAGATGAAGATTTAAGTAAGTTTAATCATTAAAATGCTTTCTAAATTTCCATTTTATGCATTTAAAATTGTTTGATAAATTCAATAAAAAATATTAAATTCATTCTCACAATATTTAATTTATTAAAGAATCAAAGACTACTTTACGTTCTGCAATACAGCAGTTATAATAATAAGGAAAAGCAACCCTCACCTGCATAAAGCTAATATTCTAGGGAGGGAAGACAATGGGTAACACAAACAAAATGTACTTATTCATGATCTTAGGAGGAAAAACAAAGCAGGGAATAAAGAAGCCCCAGTAAAGCAGATATAGATTATAATTTTAAATAGGATAGTCAAGGAATGAACAAATCAGAAAAGCTAATGGATGCAATTATAATGACTACTAATTGACTTAAATATGCACCTTACTCTGCTGTTGAGATCTCCCTACCTTTCAAGCCATAGCAAATTCTTACAGTTTGCACCTATTCCCTCACAGTGTCACAGTAATTCTGTGGAGATTCTTCTTTCTTAATATTCACACTTTGGCACAACATGAAAGAGAGATTTTTATAGTTAGATGATTTGTAGTATGTAGTACACAGCATGAGTTAGTTATCTGGTGTGACAGTAATTTCTAGCCTTGGCCTAAGGATGTGAAGTGAAGAGAATAGAATACTGGTAATGATCCAGTATACTCAGTACTAAGCTCTAGTCTCATCATTTTGGCCCAAACTTCACTTTGTGTACCACATTCTTTAGATAAATTATCCACTCACTTTGCTGAGATTTACTGATATGGGGTAATTCTCCCCTTTGCTATGTTATGCAGACTCGCTTAGGATATGATTTGCTGGACTATGTTGATCATTAATAAATGCTATTTTGATAATAAACACTACAGAGATACACTAACTGGTACTCTACACACTGCAAAAGAGTCTAATTTTCAAACTGCCTAATTTGCTAATGTATATGCATCAATAATACAAATAATACATGATTTTAAACTTTAAGCTAAATAAGAGTACTTAGGATTAGGGCTTTATGTAGAAGGAAGAAGTACCAAATTTCTTGGGTTTCATGGCTGGAATTTCTGAGACTTCTCTCAAGTTTACTTCCAATTCATGAGATAAGTTTATCCATGATGGAAGGATCCACAGAAAGTTGTTGTTGGGCCTAACTCACAGGATAAAGTAAGTATTATTCTGTGGTGTTGTGATTAAATTACAGCAGGAGAGCAAACAGTGTAATTACATTATGACTACGAAAAAGCATTAGTTTCACTGGATTTATGTGAATTCCCATTGGAGTACCATGGAAAATCCTTTATTATGTAATATATTCATGATTATTTAGGGTTTTTTTTTATAGCTCTCTCTTAAATAAGAAAACCATAAATAACTGAATACTTCAGTGCTGATATAAAAATATAATTATTGTTAAAAGTGTTTTGTCTCTTCTACTGGATTAATTCGTATGCTTTCAATATGCACTTTCAAATAATGTGTTTTTTAACTGCTCTTAAATCATCTTATTTAAATCTCAAGTTTTCTTGGAGACTATTTTACTTTTTGTTTTATATTTTCCCAAATCACTAATATGATACCCACTTTTATAAATCCAGTATTTTAAATTTGGTATTCTCAAATTAGGTCAATCATAGAACATTGCTTTCTCAAAGATATATTTTCAAATGAACATAAAGTGTTACCATGAAATTTTTCTTCACATTTTTATGTATTTACCTTTCTTTCAGTTTGTGTGGTTATTTTTTCCTCTGGAACTTTGTGTACATATTTCTTTCTATTTTTTAATAAGAAGGCATGAGTCAATCCGTTTATATTGTTTAGTTTTCCCTTACACATGTGTCCACTATATTTCCTATTTTCTTCCTTCTTTGAAATGCTATTAATGACTGATTTTTAAAAGTATTTTTATTCTCTTACTAATTCCCTATTTTCTGAATTTAAAGAATAGATAAGTATACTTTTATTTTATATATTTTTATTCTTAAGTAAAAATCTAAAAGGAAAGTTAAAAGAGTTCTCATTTTAAACATAGCAATTATCAATGGTGGCCTCTGGTATGGAAAAAATATTATTATATACCTCAGTATGAATGTTCCAAAGAGACAGGCATAAAATTTTGTTTAAAAATAACATTAGGGGTGGCACCTGTGGGTTAGTGGGTAGAACGCTAGCCCCATATACCCAACCTGTAGAGTGACAGGTTTGAACCAGCCCTGGCCAGCTATAACAGCAGTGGCAACTACAACAAAAATAGCCAGTCTTTGTGGCAGGTGCCTGTAGTTCCAGCAACCTGGGAGGCTGAGGCAAGAGAATCGCTATAGCCCAAGAGCTGGAGATTGCTGTGATCTGTGATGCCACAGCACTCTACCGAGGGTGACAAAATGAGACTCTGTCTCAAAATAAATAAATAAAAAAAAATAAAATTAGGATGTAATTTATCACTAAACATAATCATATTGCATTTAAGATTCAAGATTCTACACATTAACAGTTTTATTTACTAAGAATGCCAGAGAAACAGTTGCCTAATAATATAGTGGAAAATCAAGAT